AAGAGAAGAATGTTAGTAAATTGTGGTCTAATCTAAAAGAGATATTACAGAGGATAGTGTTAAGTAGACATAGACAAGATAGATATGTTTGGAGTTGGGATAGTAAAGGCCTATTCTCAACAAAAAAATTTTGAAGATCTATCAAGCCTATAACATTTGAGTTAATGACTTTAGGCATCTTAGTACGCAAGGTATGTATCCTTTAAATAAAAGTCTTTGCATGGCAATTACTAAAGGGTCGCATGTTAGTTATAAATTTTTTTTAGCATTGTTGTTGTAGACTGAAAGTATGAAATAAATATCCAATTTATAGGTGCAATACAAAAAAAATAATCCTATTTTGCTACAACATAGAAAGGTTTATTAGTCTAATGCACTTCTTTATCTTAGTGGGACATATCATGATATTGTCTAGGGGATATTCAAACTATCTTTAGTACATGGTAATTTGTAAGAAAACCCATGTATTATAGGAGTGCGTTAGCATTACTCCTTTTATATTATATATTTAGAAGTATGATCAATTTGATTTGCTAGAAATAAAATTATTTCTAAGAAAAAAGAAATATCCACACTAGATATATGACTTAGTATGAATAATACTAATATGGTACGTCGACTCACTTTAATGAGAATATAATAACTATTCAATTAACCAACTACTAGTCTCCTTACATATGTGATAAGGTAACGATCACATATATTGAAAAAGGGATGTACCATGTAGGGTAAACTAGCACCCACAACTATAGATGGATCTTAATGAATAAGGATGGTTAGTGTAAATGCATTTTCTAAAAAAAAACATGGGTGCATGTGATGCAATTACGATAATAACCTATAATGTGTCAATAAATCAATCTATCGATATAATAACTGAGAGTGATTTAGTTGTGATCACATCTTGGGTGGTTATATTACAACCCTATAGAGATTAAATCAAATTACAAACTCTATAAAAAATGAGATGGAAAACTTGAATTCAGCACCTCCAGCTCATGCCAATAAAAAGAACTTTTATGATCAATGCACTTATTAAGATAGGAATGGGTAAGGGCACATATTTAAATGGTTATAGAAGGTTTCTTTGCACTGGATGGGATCTTGAGGAAATAATTTCTAACATATACATATGACCTCTCTTTTAACTTATGTAGGTAAAAATAAAGGGTAATTATTCATTCTTTAACTTGATATGAATAGAAAACTAACAATTGATGAGCTCATGCTATCAATAAATTATTGAAATACTAAGTTTAGACGTAAACAGTGCCAAATAGAGCTTCATAAGAAAATCTTTTTATTTATTGTTTTGTTTTTCTTTTAAAATTGTTATTGACTTTGATTAATGTGATTTTCTTGTCAGAAAGAATGTGAATGAGTTGTAGACTCGTATGAAAAATATTGAATGAATACTTAATCTATCATGTATTACTTTAATGTAACTTGTGTCAGTGTGCCAAGTGTTGTTAAGTTTATGGTGCAAAAGTAATAATGTTAGGTGTGAGAAAGAGTAGTAGTAACGATATCAAAAGGTCCTCGAGAGTTTTCAAAAGAGGAAAGCATAAGGTAGGAAACCATTTGTTTATGATGATTTTTACTAATAAATATATTCAGTTAATAAAAGGTACATTAAAACGCTGAAGGCATTATCTTTGCTAACAACAATTATTTGTATATGTATAATTCTAGTAATAAAATAAGATTTGTTAGTAAAAATGACTCTTATTATATGTCCTTTTTCTTTGTAGTGATACAAGTAAAACAACATTAGTATAGTAATTTAAAAAATCAGTATGCTGCAGAGTCAAAACGCCCTGTATTCCTGTACATTATATTTTTTTTTTGCAATAAATTTATATATTCATTATAGATATTTATGTAAATCATCACGACATCTCTCAAATGATATATATATTAGAGGATGTGTCATCGATTTACATTTTT